AATTTAAACCCATCCCCAGATAATTCACTAGTTATTAGTACTGTTGTGAGGATTATAACAGATCTGTGTCTGTCTTGGCTGTCTGTGTCTAGATATACATAAGCATATAGATATGGAATGTCAGCTTGAATAGCTATTTGTCATGTGAATACTGGTTATACCAGAGTGGGCTGCACTCATGTGCTTTACTGTTCTTTGTAATTTTATGGAAGTTTTTTTTTTTTTTCTTTTGAGTACCAGACATTGTAAATGCTGTCTTTCTCAGTAGTGGGCAGTAAATTTGCCCTTTTTCAGGGATTCGTGAATTCTGTGATGCTAGCCTTTCTGGTGTTTTAAAATATCTTTCATGCATGCTTTTAAATAAATCGCAAATACCACAAAGTCCTCCTCCGTGTGCAGTGTCATGTATTTTACTAATGTCAAGGCAACACCTACATAGTTTGTACTATTTATATAGTGCCCATCACTCAGTCAAATCGCCAACTGCTTTAGAAATGCTAATTAATTAAAGCCATAGGGCACCCCAGTGAGGCAACATTCGTTGCTTCCAAAGTACTTTAGCCTTTTTATAAACATACTTATTGTTTCCGCAAAGAAGAAAAATGTAGATACTTTATTGTAACTTTTCATGCTATTGTTGAAATTAATTCAACATAGGGAATGGACTTTCTGATATCTCCTTAAAGAATAATACAGCAAAGCACAGAATATCCAGTAAGCTCTTAATGTGTAGAACACAACTTTACTTTTCCAGAAAGTTGAGGAAGCAACCAACAGGTTGATCTTTCTTTCTTCTCCTGACAAAGGAAGAAAAATTGCTTGCAGATGTAAAGGGGATAAGACTCTTGGAAGGAAGTGATTATAGTATAATAAAGTTTGTGATTAAAGAAATAAAGGTACAAAATTAGCAAAGGAGGAATATTGAACATCAAAAGGGCAGATTTCAATCAAATCAGACATAGCATGGAAGGTCCCATGGGTAGACCGAATGAAGCATAGTGGGGTTCAGGAAGCCTGACAGTTCCTTAGGAACATAAAATTGAAGGTTCAACAAGAAGCTATTTCAGTGTGGTAGGAAGAACTTCAGGAGTGATTTGTCTATACAAGAACTTCTTGCTTACCTCAAAGCAAGAGAAATGTCAGAAGTAAGATGGGCAAGTCACTAAAGATGCATACCAAGGAGCTGCAAAGATGTTCAAGGACAAAATCAGGAAAGGAAAGGCAAAAAAGATACGCCACTGGAAACAGATGTTGAAGATGATTCAATTTAAATGTCAGATGGAATAAGACCAAGCGAACTGTGAATGATCCTACAGATCTATTAGCAGAAGCCACAAAGAAGGCCAAGTCGCTCAATAACTGCTTTGCTTTGCCATCTAACAATTAAACTGACCAAATAGCTAAAGAAACTAATACAAAAGAGGCAAAAGGCAGCAGATCACTGTAAGTAAAGAGCATATTGGAGTTCTTGACAAACTTTGGATGGATTTGAAAAGGGCAAATGTGACATGTTACACAGGGGAGGATAATTACATGCACAAAAGCAGAAAGGGCAATGTTTGGCTTGGCAGTAGCATTCCTGAGACGCATCTGGAGGCTTTGGTGGGTCAAACTTCATGTGAGCCAACAGTGCCATACAGTTGTCAGACAAAAGCACAATTTTTGGCTGTGTTAACAGGAATGTAGCATGCAAGACACAGGAGGTGATGGTACTATTTTACTCAGCAATGCTTAGACCTCAGCTAGGGTACTACTTGCAGTTTGGGCCCTGCAATCAAAGGACGATGTGGAAAAACTAGAGAGGATTCAGAAGCAAGCAACAAAAATGCTAAAAGGGTATAGGAACACAAGTTGTACAAGGAAAGGTTAAGAGAACTAGTTATGTTTAATTTGGACAAAGTTAGATTAAAGAAACATTTCCAACTGTTTGAAAGGCTGCTACATAGAACAGGGAGGACAACCTCGTCTTGGAGAATGGGACATGAAGCAACAGGTTTAAATCTGTCTGCAACGAGGCAGATTTAAATAAAGTATCAAAAACAAGTCTTTGTTACTATAAGAACAGTAAGGAACAAACTTCCTAGGGAATTTGTGATATTTTCATTAGAAGCTTCCAAGAAGAGGCCAGATTGTCATTCATCTGGAATTGTACAGAAATTACACATCCTGCATTTTTGAGTAGGATGTTAGACCCTTGCAGTGCTTTCCAACTCTGATTCTGTGAAGGATACAAAGTTGTCAACTCATGATTTCGTGGAGAGTTGCGCTCTAGTTTTACCTAAAGCCCCACCCAGTTCCTGCAATGAAGTAAATGTATTTCAGCTATTTTTGAAAAAAATATGTTTCTGGCCTTCATGGTTGTAGAGTAAGCTTTGAAAGCGAACTCTAAAGGCTAGAGGTGTCAGTTGCCTCTCAGATTGGCACCGATAAAAGGAGAAATGACATTCTCAGTTATCGGCTTCTTTTTTTCTGTTGTAACCAATAATATTTACCAATAATTATGCCTTCTGGCCAGGGCTTTGGACATTTGGGTTCCCTCTTCCCCCATGGGGCCGGGACCCTCTGATGCCTGGGTTCCCTTGGGAAATGGCAGGTTTCCCCTTGCAGAAAGGCAGCATTCTAACCTGCAAGGGGTCCTGCTGCCTGGAGTGAGACACAAGGGGTACCATGTGCATGTGTGCAGCCACATGCATGCATGCAGCCAGAAATACAGCCAGGCAGCATGGAGAGCAGCTCCCTGCAGGTAAGTCTATGGAAGGGAAGGGGCAGGGGGCAGATCAAGGCCCCCACAGTGAGGGAGGGAGTGGGGCTGGGGCTGGGGGGGCTGCCCAGCCGAGGTGGTACATGGACATGGGGCAGAGAGTGGGATGGAGCCACGGGCAGCTCATCCAGGGGGTATGGGTGGGATGGCTCTCCACTCTGCTGCCTTTCCCTCGGGAGCCTCCTGCTGGCCCCGCACTCCCTGCCCATGTAGTAGTAGTGGAAGTTGCGAGTTGTGCCTTCCTCTGCTAAGCAGGCAGATGTGATATGGGGCTTCCGAGGCAAAGGCAGCAGGGTGGAGATCCCAGAGCCCACAGCAGGCAGCCTCCATCCACTCTCACCCCACTCAGCTTGGCTCTACTTTAAAAGCATCCCCGTGCTTAAAAATGGTAGTGATGGTACTTGAATTAAATAAAGCTTATTCAACAAGCTTTAGTTAGTGCCCCCTGCCACTATTTTTAAGTGCCAGGGTGCTGATACATGTGACTTGGGGCTGCTGGTGTGCACCCAAATAAAAGATTTATTTATGTCAGTAAATCGGTTATCAAACCAGCATTGGCCCATATGGTTGGCTAATAATCAGCTGTCGGTATCAGCCAAGAAAACCTTTATTAGTGCACCCTTACTAAACACTAAAAAAACAGGACCCTTTGAAAAAAAAAACCTGATGGGGTTAATATACTTAGAATTAGACCTTCTGACTATTGGCAGGCAATTCAGAGGACCATCCCAGAGACTGCTTGTCAGTGCTCTGTTATCTGTCAAGCTGCTTAGTACCATACAGTGTGTTCTGCAGTTAACTGAAGGCTATGACTAAAATTATTTATTTTTAAACAGGTGTTTTTTTACTTCCCAATAAAAATGCTTGAGAGAAATTCTTAATGCAAGTTTGGCTTTTTTATGAGGATCTGTGGGAGTCACCTTTGCAATTTTTCTTTTCTTTTTTTTTTTTTTTTTTTTTTGAGGGGAAGGGATGGGAGAGAGAGTTGAGTGTTTTTGATTCTGTTAAACTGTTTACTGTGTGTAGGGCCAGAATATCTTCACCAAAAGTCAAGCTTTGTTTTTTTCCTTTGTCCTAATGTTCTTCTATCTTCCATCTTTTATTTCTATTTCTTCTCCTCTGCCATTTCTAATCTGGCAAACATTTCAGGTTTTCCAGATTTTCTCAGGTTTTCTCAGGTTTCTCAGATTTTCTCAGGTTTTTCCCAAACATTTCCTAGCATTTTCACTGTTAGTCTAGTAGCTACTTCCAGTTTGTCTTCCCCATCCCATCGCTTTGTTTTTAAAAAATAGTCTTGTCATCCCATTCAGATATAAGGAGCACAATCATGTTTTTCTACAGCCTGGGATGATCAGTGATATATTATTATACCTTCCAAGTCATGAGGAAGCTCATGTTTCTGCTGAGGCTCCCATTGGTCCCCCAGGATAAAAATCCTGCAACTACCACATCTGCTATGTTAAACACACTAAGTGTTTGGACATTTTTCCAGTTTATATTGACTGAATTCGTAATGGAAATGTTCAGGCCTCAGTATTAATTCATGTATTTGTATATTATTCATGTATTGATTTATTTCATTCCATAAACCCTCATCCTTGAAAGAATCACACGTGTTTAACTTGAACTTCAAGCATTCAAAAAGTCCAATTGACTTTTTTTTCATAGAATTTAGTTTAGTAGGAACCAAGGAGTAACATGAAAAGTCAAATGCAGAAGTGTTTCATAGAGAGGAGAAGCTGCAGAAAAAACAACAGATCTTATGAAATCCTGAAGCTTACCTGCCCTTCATCTTTGTACAGTGACTAGAGCTTCTACCTGCTGTTGTAGAGCAATTGGTACAATACCAAAGGGTATCTCTACACACAGCAAGCTACACACAGCAAGCTACCTAGAAGAAAGTTAACTGTTTATAATGGACCTGGCTAATATAAGCAATTTAAGGAAAGTACTGAACGTGTTCTCTACGTGAATATCGGTATTTCAGGTCTCTTCTTCCTACCTTCACTTCACAGTGAAATTCTTTAATGAATTCTCATTAATGAGCCAACCTGAAAGGCCATAACAGCGTGTCTCATGTCTTTGCGAACAGCAGTATTTTGTGCAAATACTGTAGTTGTATGTATTCACCAAACCAATGTTCACCTGTTTATAAACTGAAGATGGCACTTGTGTGTTTGATTCAAGGATTTATCAAGTAAGAAAGCAACCCCTCACCTTTATTTTCTGTTTTCTGCAGTTGAACATTCTGGTTGACACTGGAAGCAGTAATTTTGCAGTTGCGGGTGCTCCAAATCCTGATGTTACATCGTACTTCAATACCGAGAAGTAAGTGTCTTTTCCTCACACTTTGAGCAGGGTTGAGTGCCACTACAAAAACCACAATGCAAAGCAAGTGGACAGGATCCTGTGACAACTGGTAGTTGGTTGTGGTATGTGCCTTTCCTTCTTGAGGGTCAGAGTTTTACCAACCTTTCTCCAGGCTGAGCAGTATTTTACTTCCCTTAATGGGCTGATTAGAATAAAGGGCTAATTAGGATCCAATGAAAATTTTTTGGACAAAATCTTTCTTTTCCCTGATTCAGCTGATTATAAAATATTTTTGCAAAGATCTACAGGTTTCAGTGAATTCTTATCAGAGCAAAACCTGAAAACAATTCTGAAAGTTGAAGTGAAATGATGCATAAAAACTGCCGAAAAAAATTGATTTTTTTTTTACTTTGCATTTTGTCAAAAAATGTTCAATATGGCATGACTTGCTGGAACATCTAGTCACCAAATATAGCACCACCATAAGCTTTATTGAGAAATAAGCTCAGTCATTGTCACATTTTGCTATTAGTATGTTGTTTTTCCCTCGATGCAGTAGCTTACCTGAAATACTGAAAGAAGGTGTAGCTGTACCCATCTTTAACTGAACTGCAAGAACATTGCCCAAACTGCTTTGATTGAGAGAGAGGAAGATGCTTGCCATCCCTGATACCTCTTCATACATGTCAGATGTGTAATTTTTGCTTTATTTGGGCTATTTTTTCCCGTAAAATGCACTGTACATTGAGGGGAAAGCTGCACTTCTACGCCAGATGTGATAGTTTGTAAGGCTACTCTATATTCAGCAGCCTTAATGGAGATTTTTCATGGCTTATTCCAGAAATAAAACCCATCTGAAGAATCCAGCATTTGCCTTTGAAAGCTATTCCTGGAATACTTAAAAGTATAGAGTCCTACATGCCAATTGTATATGCTGCATTTTCTATGAAATAATGCTTAATCTAAGTAGTATTAGGATGTGTTATGTAGTGACAGTAATTGCTCAGCAATTGAGTTTCCATTATAAATCCCCCACCCCTGTACATATGTGCACACACCAACTACAAAATCCTCAAATTTTGGTAGGTTAGATTTTGGGTAAAGTAAGGAATCTTTCTGGTAGGTGTAAAACCAGTTGGACAAGAGATTCCTCAGAAACCCCAAAAATAAGGCATTTGGGGGAGCCCAAAAAATCTACTAAAGGAACAACAAACCTTGTGACTGGATTTGCTCCTTTGTGACATCTAGTGCAGAGGTTTTGGGCTTTGAGTAGGGTGAGCAGTGAAATCAGGGGGACAAAGTTTCCTACTGAAATCTGCTGTGGAGCAAAACCAAATAGTGGAAGATGCCATTCATCTGAGCATTCAGCGCAGTGCCAAGGGGAGGGGGAGGGGGAGGGAGGCAGTCCCAGCCTTCCTGTCAGCCTTGATAGACTGGTTGGGCTTTTGTAAGCTTCATACTGATCTAATTGGGAGGAGAATGGACATGTTGTGCTATGTCCATTATGTTGACTAGCAGAACATGGAAAGTACACCAAAAATGTAATAAGAGTTGCAGTATAAGAGCAGGATAACAACTTCTTAGGAAAGGGTTGTGAGCTTCACAGCTTGGACTTGTGGAGACTTTCTGGACCACTGGGTTTGGAGGGTACTGAGAGGATGCATGGCTGATCATTCTAAAGCTCAAAGGTTAGAAACGGAGAAAGAGGCAGGAACGTTCCTCCTAGAGACCCCGTGCATGGAGTTTGGGAAGTGCCATGTAGTGCTAGAAGGGAGTTCCTCAGTCCTTGTGATTCCCTAGCATGGAGGCTTGGGAGAAGTTTCTCCCAGTAAACCACTCTTTTTGGGTAGTATGGGGTGTCCCTGTACCCATCCCCAGGTGGCCTAACAAGAGAAGAGGAGCTTCATTCGGTGCCTTTCCTGGTCTGAAAGAAAGCACTGAGAAGTGGGGACTTCCTCTACATATGGACTAATGTAGTGAAAGGACTCTTTTTCAGAGGAAGTTGTCTGGGAACTAATTATAGAGACATTGTGGCCATCAGCTAACACTTCCCAGCTTTGCTCCCATTTCCTAGCAACTTCTAGTATTTGTAGGAACATGGCTCCGTTATGTCAGGTCCAGTTAATGAACAGAAATGATCCCTAGGAAATGCCATGCAGCACCAGAAGTTTGCAGTCATGTATCTGTGTTTTGTGTATGCTCTTCTTAACTTTTGGCAGGTAGTAGCAACAAAAGGGAAGTGTCACTGAAAAGGCTGTAGAGAGAAACAAAAACGTATCAGTACAAATATACAAGAACTTCATAATGCAGCATAAATGTTTATATTATAACCATGTTGGACATTCATATGTAGGACCCTTATACTTCAGACTTCAAATAAACATACCCTTGATAGACTCCTGGCTCCACTGGAATCAATGACAAAACTTTTGTGGACTTGAATGAGGCTACCATTTTGTTTTGTTTTTTTTCAAAATGAAACAAATATTTGATGTGCTTCAACACCAGCACTTTTCTTCCAGGTTATTTTACCTCTATTAAACAACATGAATGCACATTTCAGCAACAAAGTTATAAAATGCTCCCCACATCTCCAAAAAGCATTAGTACTTATTTTATTTTGTTACATTTTTATGTAACTGTTAAGGTGGAGTACTGTTAGAATCTTAGTTCAGTGTTAGTACCTCGGTTCTGAATGCCCTGGGGTGCTATTTTTTCTTTTTATTTAACTCAAATGATCAAAATGCTAAGCAGTGTGAGAGAGGTCTTGACTTCAGTTTGTTTTTATGTGGACAAGAAAATTGTCTTGCTATGGAGTCTTGAGGAAAACAGCGCGGAATTATTGGTTTTATAAGCCTGACCTCTGTGAGTGTTCTAGAAAAAAAAATTCTTTGAGAAACTGTTCTGTGCAATTTGTTTTTTTCTTTTTGCCTTCATAGAGGTCTGATGCCTGTCTGTGAGTCTATTTAGCTATAAAACAAGCAAAACTTTGCAATCTGATATTTGAGCACTTTGAGTATTAAACTGCTGACATTCTCCATACCACCTAAAACAGTGGTTTTCAACCTTTTTGAACTAGAGGCACCCCTCCCTCAATTTTTGAATTGTGTGGCACCCAATTTAAAAAACTAATTAATAGTTTATAGTGTTTATGTTTTTGCAGAGGGGCCTGGCAATAAGGATTGGGGTATCATCCGGGCAGAGACTATCCTGAGCCTGCACTTTTCTGCTTATTTCCTGACACCTTGCTTATCTCTTCCCATCTCATGATCTGGCAGAACCCTGGTTGAGAATTGTGTATCACGTGATGGCAGGGCAGGGATTGAGGTAATTTGGTAGTCTCAGTTTTGAAAAATTCAGCTGGTATTAGCTTACTGTGTTTGTTGTTCATCAAGTTCTGCTTCAGCAATCTTGAAGTGGGGTAGTAGGAATTTCCTCTGTTTAATGGGGTAGAAACCACTTGAGTATTTTGCAAGTGAACTAATTATGCCTTTAAAAGGCGGAGGGAGGGGCAGAAGGGTGGGAACCTGGGAACTTCATTTCTCATACCATTTAAAGTCTGTCTGTCTTTATGGAAAAGTAGCTGTGTGTGTGTGTACACATGCACACATGTTCTCCGTGTGTGTGTGTGTATATATGTATGTGCACACACACACACACACACACACACACACATTTATTTATTTATTAGTGAACATAATGGGCTACTTTTCCATAAATAATTTACTTGAAGTACAAGCATTTTTAACAGTGTATTTCAGATTATATCATCATTGCTTAGGCAGGTGAATGAGTGATAGACAAGTGAGATGGATTTATACAGCAGACCACTTTTATTAATGGAAACATTGGCTGTCTTTTTCCACCCCCACCCACCTCACCCCCAAAGAAAGGAAAAAACTTTCTTGCCAAACTTATAATTACTTCAATCATGGGTTAAAATGATTAGTATTTTTTATATAACTAAATCACTTAGGAAAGACCTTCCTTAGTCTAACCCTGACCTCTTCTTTCTTCTCCATGTTAAAGAGGAAGGGTATGGTGGAGGCTGTCACCTTTTAGACAGGCGTGTAACATGCCTCCAAGCAAGTCTGTGTGCCTAAGGGAGGACACAAAGACAGTGTAATGTCATCTGAAGGTTGAGTGTGAATACTATCTACTTCCTTCGTTTCAAATACAAGCATTCTTTGGAGCTTCCTGAATTCTTACATTTTGGTTACCTTTTGCAATTAGCAATCATACAAGAGTTGAATTCATCATGCACATCTGACTCTCAGCATTAGAAAAAACAAAGCACACTTGTTACAACTGAAGGGAGGGAAGACAGATATTCAGAGCAACAAGACTTGGAAGAGGCCTCAGCAAGCTTAAATATTAAGCGGGGATGTCAGAGCCAATGAGCTGGCCTAACTTTTCCTCTTGCTCTAGCCCAGGGGTATGCAACCTTTTTGAATGTGAGGCCAGATAATGAACTTTTTATCACCCAGTGGGCCGGTGAGTCATATTCAAAGACCACACAGGAAGTGGTATCACATCAGGAAGTGATGTCACGTGACCTTTAACACCAATGAAGTTGCAAGAATTGACAATGAAACGGGTCTGGAAATGTGGTTTAAAATCCAAAATAAAAAACAATATAAAAGCAACAATGAAATAATGCCAAACACTTGACTAAAATGAACACTTTCGCTTCTACTCACTTCTCAATGAATGAAAGAAGCATAATGCAAGTCGATAGATCAAACGTGGAAAAGATATCAGCCAGAGTGAAAATTAATCAAAGCAACAAAATATGGGTATTTTTGAGAATAATCTTCAAGAAGATTTACTTTTATTGAATTAATAACTTGTTAGTAACAAATCTTTAACAAGTAGTAACAAGTTGAACCCCCAATCCTGCACAAAGAGAAACAGAAGCAAACACAATCCAAACACCAGACAGTATTTTTACAAAGATGTTTACCTGCTCCAAATTTACATTGGAGCCCAGATCATTCGTGCTCTATTCTTGAGCATAT